CCATGGACTGCCAAAAGAACGAGCCAATCTATCTGGGAAGAAATACAGCCTGAATGCTCCTCAGAAGCAAGAATGGAGAGACTATGTCTTATATACTTTGGACATGTTGTCAGGAGGGATCAGTCCCCAGAGAAGGTCATCATGCTTGGTAAAGTAGAGGGTCAGTGATGAAGAGGAAGATCCTCAACGAGATGGATTGACACAGAGGCTGCAACAGTAGGCTCAAGCATAAGAACGATTGTGAGGATGGTGCAGGGCTGGGCGGTGTTTCGTTCCGGGGTACATGTGGTTGCTAGGAGTCAGAACCGACTCGATGGCATCTGACAACAGCATGACAAAGCAAAATACAACGCGCTGAAACTAAGAAGCAGCTGAGTGGGTCAGCTATGGAAAATGGGAGTTGACATGTTTCCATCTAGACTCCACGGAAACTCTCTCGTGAAAAAAAGGTAAAGTTTCTATATGAATGACTCTCTGGATCTTGCCGTTCGCCTCACTACCAAGTCAGGATTTATACGCCAAAACTCACCGTTTTAAAATGAGGAGTCCAGGGTAAGGGGAAATAGTAAGCGAAAGGCAAAGGCAGAAAAATACTCATCAGTGAATGAAGCTGGAATGAAGTTGATGGTGACTGGGAAGATTAACCCTTTCTCAAATATAGAAAGTACAGGCAATGCTCTGCTGAACAGCACAGAAGGGCCCATGCATGACTATGTTGGTTCATTACCTGGAGCCGAGTGAAAAGATTCCTAAGGGCCAAGGTAACTGGGCTCAATGAAAATGCACCACAAAGACCAGAGGGAAGTCTCTGGAATGTGCTGGATCATGAGATCAATAGACTCAAAGATGACTAAGTTAGGGAGCTTTATGCAGTTTAAACATTTGTGCTGGAAGCCTCCCCATGCAGCCTTTTATTGACAGCTTCAGATCAATGCTAATTTCTGATCATTTTCAACCTGCATAAACCTATTGACCCCATGGCCACCTTTGGGGCACTTCAAGTTGTCAAAAATAATCAGAGAAGATGGTGTAAAATTGTCAGACTGCGAAGACCCCAAGTAGTTTCATGTGTCCCAGGAGCAGAGTTGAGAGGTTAAAATGTAGTTCGAATTGCCGGCAGAACCTCAACTGGCAGAGAGTCCCGCAGAGTCTTGTCTTCATGCCTCATAAAATGATGCACTGATGTGTGTCCAGGCTCTGACCCTCATGCATATATGTTTAAAACAAGAGACGCTAAATCATACTGGAAATATTAGATTCAGAGAATGGATTCTCTCCTAGTGAAATACATCTTCCTGTTTCCCTTTATTGAGTCATTCTCTTTTAAATGCTTCCTCAAATCCGGGGCCTAACGAAGATAGCTAATATGCTTCTAGAATAAAAAATCTGAATGTGATAGAGACACGTACATAGAATAAACCAAACCCACAGCTGTCGAGTCGATTCTGACTCATAGTGACCCTATAGCCACCCTACAGGACAGAGTACAACTGCCCCATAGGGTTTCCAAGGAGCTGCTGGTGGATTCAAACCGCCGACCGTTTGGTTAGCAGCCAAGCTCTTAACCAGGGTTATAGTCCAGAAATAACAACAGCAACAAAATTGCTCAAAAGAAATTGGTGGGGTGGAAGAATGAAGGGAAACAGCAGAATAATGACAATGAAGATGTTAGAGTACTGAGTTAGGATTGTCTCCATAACGGGAAGAGAGTGAAGGAAGACGGAGGAAGGAGCAGTGTCGGGACGGAGAAGGAGGAGAAGAAAAAAAGGTGAATCGGGAGGAAAAAGGAAGGAAAATGACTTTTAATGATGGATTTTCCTCGTCAGCGGAACAGAATGGTACGTCTCCAAAGGGAGGAATTAAATCCAAAACGTTTAAAATTATAACCACAGTGCTAAAGAAAATATGCTGAATTTAAGGAACATAGCAAGTAACTTAATAAATAAACAAGACACAACCCAAATTAACTCCACAGAGCAGAACTGTGTCCAAATTTTACAGCAGGATTCTAAAACTTATTAATTATGAACTTTGCTGTTGAAGATCATTCAGGACAGAATGATTTAAAATTTTTCCTAAGGTGTTGGAAGAATACATTGGTAAAGATTGTTTTACCATTTTTTAATTTCTTCATTTTTTTTTTTAAATATAGTCTTTACTAAAGTGTCCCAAAATGTATGGCTACTGTTGCTGTTAGGTGGTGTCCAGTTAGTTCTGATTCATAGCGACCCTGTGTACGACCGAATGAAACACCACCCGGTCCTGCGCTATCCTCACAATCGTTGTTGTGCTTGAGCCCATTGTTGCAGCCACTGTGCCAACCCATCTCGTTGAGGGTCTTCCTCTATTTCGCTGACCATCTACTTTACCAAGCATGATGGCTACTAATAAGGTTTATTTAAGGGGTGTGTATATGTGTGCACTGTTATTATTATTTTTTGGTAGCTCTGCAGAAATAGCAAATTACTGTAATGGGAGAACATTTCCCCAGTGTAAATTTAGGATGCAGAAGTTCTCCTTTATATCTCAATATGTGGTTGCTTTTATGTTTTTTTAAAGGTAACTATAGACCAGATTAAGCAAAACACCTGTTGTAATCACTCTTTATAGGTGCACACCTTTCAACAGTTTCTGTATCAGGCATGCAGGAACTTCAACGGGAGACCTGCAGGTCATATTTCTGCAATAGATGGCACAGGTTTACAGCCAGGGCATTTTGAATACTTCTACATCCAAGGGTCTGAGCCATAAATGTTTATTAAAAGAATCTATAATGGAATCAGTTTTGTTATTTTTTTAATGGTTGCCTGGAGTGCGTTGGATGACTGAATGCCGATTGTTAATCATTAAGTACTCCGTTACCAAAAGGGTTTGATCGTATTGCCATCTAGGGGCTGACTGGAATTCTCAGCTCTGAAATAAACTGTAATTGAGCAGGTGCTGCTATTGACAATATACATATGTTTTTGCTTTATAGCCCACATGCTTTCCATGTTTGTCATGACAAAAGCGATCTCTAAATGTCCCCCAACAGCCTATCTTCTTTATATGTAATCTGCTAGAGGTGATTACTATTTGCTTTGGCACTTGTGCTTTTTTGGCATCTATTACTGAATATTCTGAACAAAGAATTATTCTTTTTTGCATTATTAATCTTGCCCATGTTTGCCCTATTTCCGCAGAAAAGAAATCATTTATCAGAAAAGAATGTTTGTAATCGGGACTTGTAGCATCTTCAGATTTAATATTCATTAAGATCACCCTGGTTCTGTGCTATATTTATCTAAAAGAGCAATCCAATGTTGTGGGGAAATAAGTTTTAAATATTTATGATCTAACTTTTAATATTTTAAAAAAGAGAAATTAGTATTTCTGTAAAATTGTTTCAGAGTCTGGTGGCTCAGCAAATGTTTAAATATTAAAAGATCTCGAGAGGTTAGCATGTAATATCATAATGGGACTTATTGAAAGAGGAAAATTAACTTGACAAGTTTTTGATAGGTGAAGAGATTGTACTTTGTCTGCCTGCGGTTAACATATAATAAGACACATTACATGGTTGAAACCTATAACCGAGAATGTGAGGACAGAGTCAAAAACTATTTCTCCAGTGGGTTTTGGTTTTGTCTAACCAGTTTGTTTGGAAAATAGTTCAATTTGGTTTTGTTACCTTGCTTTAGATGTTATTCAAAACGATCTTTGGATGTCCCCTAATTAAGGAGACTGTCCTTAAACAGATAACTTTGTCTAATGCTTTTAGGTATCTGTTCTCAGACAGTAACTTCTTCCCACCTCACATTCCTTCTTCCCTGCCCACCAAGAAAGAGGACAATTAAAGACCATCGATCACATTTAAACATCTAATAAACCAAAGCTGATCTCACACACCATTAAATGTAAATATCTTATTAACGCAGTCAAAACCTCCTCATGACTGTCCACATCCGATGGGTATGGTACCCAACAAAAGGTGCCGCCGGGGTGTGTGCGTGTGTGTGTGTGTGTGTGTGTGTGTGTCCATGTGTGTGCACGTGTGTGTGCGTATGTGTCTGTGTGTCTCTGCGTGTGTGTGTGTGTTTAGTTATAGACATGTTACTGGTCCACTTGCAGAGATAATTTCTATCTGTAAACAGGCGTATCCATCCAGACCAGATGTGGAAAGAGCACCCTGGGGCCTGTCAAAACATTAGGATTCTCAGCTCTCGTTTAGATATGCAAACTACGCTAAACGCTATCGCTGCTCTCCAAGCAGGACAAAACAATCAGCTATCGCTCTTTTTTTTTTCATATATCAACAAAGGTCAAATTCTCTAAGTCCAGGTCACAGGAACTTTTGGTGAATGTCATGGTTTTAGTTAGGGTACTTTCAACAAAAGAGAATATTTTCCCGTATATGTGAATAGTGCGTTTCCCTGAAGGTGTTTGTACAGTTATATTTCAGTTGGTTTGTGTTGTTTTCTTGTGTTTGTTTTTTGGTGTTTCTGAGACATATACACACAGAGAAAGTGAGAGGGAATTGGGGAGATGGAGAGGCTTGCATATAAACAAATAGTATTAGGGATTAATAAAAGAGAATTATGGTCCTTCTGGATAAATCGCCCAACCCTTAAGATTAACCTGGTGGGCAATTACAGTATTCTCTGCCATGCAACTTAGAACCAGTGATTGCCATCCTGAGCTGGATGCAGCATTGATCTGAGGCACCAGAGGTTTTTTATGTTCATATGCCACAACCTTTGGGTTACAAGCTGTGGAAAGGCCAGGATCCTATCCAGTCCGTACTCTCTGGGTCTCTTAAATCACACACCGTTGGGTAATATATTCAGAATGTCAACAAGAACAAGAAAAAAACAACATTGTTTTCTTAATGACGACTCTAAAACTGCTGTAAGTATTCGTGCTGCTGTTGCTGATATACCCAGGCATGCAGTTCAGAGAATGACCTTCCAACGATCATTGGCCACTTCTAAAAGAAAGTTAACCTGTCGATTTTCTTACAGGGAACATGCTACCAAGCTCACCTGTTTGGGTTAGAACCATTCACAAAGTATCACGTTGGTGTTGTGGCTACAAACCAGGCGGGAGAAGTTTCAAGCCCCTGGACTCTGGTTCAAACCTTAGAATCCTCCCCAAGTGGACTGAGCAACTTGATAGCAGAACAGAAAGAGAATGGCCAAGCCTTGTTACTCCGGTGGTCAGAGCCTACCAGAACCAATGGTGTGATTAAGGTAATGTCTACGTTACATACGAACACGGCTTTGGGGTTGCCCTGTTGAGTAGATGAGCTCTGACATGCCGTCAGGTCACTGCGGGAAACCTCCCTTCACAGCCTGTGTAATTCTCCTTGATGGCTGCTCCAAGGCACTTAATCATAGAGAAAACTAGCCCCCCTGTGTTATGCTTCCAGTGAACCCCATACAGCGCTGGGCTACGTGTTCTCCAGGAATAGCTCATGTAACCCTCTCATCGGCACTGCTAGTTGGGTACCACTGAACCTCAGGAGGCATGTTGTTGTTAGGAGCAATCCAGTCAATTTTCGACTCATAACGACCCCATGTGACAGAGTGGACCTGCCCCGTAGAGTTTTCTTGGCTGTAATCTTTACGGGAGCAGATGGCCAGGTCTTTCTCCCATGGAGTTGCTAGGTAGGTTCGAACCGCCAGCCTTTCAGTTTGCAGCCAAGCGCTTAACCTTTTCACCACCAGATGTATCAAGGTTAAATAACTGCCCATGTCCACAGTGTAAATAATCAAGTTGAGATTTCAAGCCAGGAAGTCAGAGCAGAGCTGAACTCTAAATAACTGTGTTCTTCTGCCTTCTGAATGGTTCTACCCAGCTATTTGCTTATGCCTTGCCTAATCTGTGCTTTGAACAGAGCTCGCTAAGCAAAAGGTAGGAAGTCACCCTATCTGCTAACTGCCCAACTTCTGTACGTAGTCACTAAAAAACGGCTGTATGGATGCCACGCAGACATCCCAGGCTTCCCCAGCCTGTGAGTACAAGTGAGCTCGCATGTCTACTAACAGCCCACATCTTGACGCTTTGAGCCACCACCCACCTGAAAACAAGACTTCGTCTCCTTCCTGAAGGTCCTCCCCAGGGGTGTGGTGACCCCCCTGTTAATCTAGGCTCCTGCCGCTGCCAACCGTCTCCTCTGTCCCTGGAGCACTGCTTAGCCCCCCAGCCTGCAGCTGCTATCAACACGCTGTCCTCTCCTTCACTATTGTCATTGTTAGCTGCCACCGAGTCAGCTCCCGACTCGTGAAGACTCCCTGCACGGTGGAATGGTAAGGCATTGGTGGCTCAGTGGAGAATTTTTACCTTCCAGGCGAGAGACCTGGCTTTGCTGCCTGGCCAATGCGCCTCATGTGCAGTCACTATGCATCTGTCAGTGGAGGCTGGCAGGTTGCTGTGATGCTGAACAGGGTTTAGCAGAGCTTCCTGGCTAAGACGGACTAGGAAGAAAGCCTAGGGATCTACTTCTGAAAATCAGCCAATGAAAACTCTATAGATCTCCTTCACTACGCCTCCTGAAAGTGGCAAAGACTCCCCCGTTAATTCCAAATATAATAGTTAAGCCTAGGGTGTAACTTTTAATAAAGATTTCCTGAAAGCCCTCTGAGAGGGCTGACAGAAGGAAATCACATACAGCAATCACGCAGAACGGTAGCAGGCCCAGGTCCAGCCTGGTGGGCCTCCCTGCAGGCCACCTCACTGCTTGGTGTGATGGCTGCCTGGCTGCCTGCTCCAGGCCTGCGATGTGCAGCAAAAGAAAGTGTCTCCACCAGCCTGCCTCCATGTGGCAAAGCCGGACTTCCCCCACCCTGGGGCAGGAGGCTTGAGCCTTAGGATCTATGACTTTAAAATCCAAGCCATAGCCCTGAAGTCCTCATCAGAAAAAAGAGTTTCTTCCGATACAGCCGCTGAGGCATCCCTTCCCCTTGTCTGTTTCCTATCCCGGAGATGGCCTCTTCCCTGCATGATTGACAACAGAAATACATACTCCTTTTACCTTCGTATACATTTCACCACATATTTATTGAGCTTCTACTAAGTGGCACGGGCTGATTCAGGAGTGAACAAGACAGGCGTGGTCTCTGCCCCCATAGACCTTACATATCTGCATGCAGGTGTGAGTGACTATGTGGGAGTATATGAATGCTGGGAGTTCAGAGAGGCAAACAGCAAGCTAGTAAATAAATAAACAAGGGAATTTCAGAGAGTGATGAATGCTACAAAAAAAAAAAATTAAACAGGGTAATGTAATTATGTCTGGCTCAGGCTTATTTAGAATGGATGATCATTTGAATTGAGTTGACATCTGAGCCGAGCCCCGAACGACAAGACAGAGTCAGTCATGTGGAGATACAGGGGCAAAATGTTCCAGACAAAATGAACAACAAATGAAAGGCCTGAAGCCAAGAATGAACTTGGTGTATTTAAGGAAAGGGAGGAAAGCCTGTGGGGATGAAGCATTGGGAGGGAGGCAAAGATGGCTCTAGAAAAGGTTGGAGTACATTGACAGTGGCCGATTTTCCCCACCTGGTTAAGGAGTTTGGAATTTATTCCAAGTGCAATGAAAAATTAATGAAGGCTCTAAGCAAATGGTATGATAAAATTTATGTTTTTAAAGACCACTCTGGCTGTTATGTGGAAAATAGACTATAAGGGACCAATAGAGTTTGAAAAGTATTGAAGAAATTCAGGGCGGAATTGATGGTGGCTTGAAGTAGGGTAGGAATTGTGAAGGTATAGAAATATAGGTGAATTGGAGATGTATTTGGAAGGTGGAGCTGATAAGACTTGTTAACGGACTGGATGTGAGCCATGAAGGAAAAGGAGCACTTCAGGATGACTTCTGAATTTTGGCCTTGAGCCATTATCTGAGAAGGGGAGGATTGGGAGATGAGTAGTTCTGAGCAGGCAAGTAGCCAGCTGAAGGTGTAAATCTAGAACTCTGGAGAGAGTTCTTCACTGAGATGTATATTTGGAAATCATTAGCATATAGGCGCTATTTAAGCCCATGTGGCTGCAGCACATCAGCTATGGGGAGAATGTAAATAGAGGTGATGAGAACCAAAGATCAAACCTTGGGCACACTAAAATTTGGAGGTCAAGATGAGAAAGAAGACCCAGCAAAGGAAATTGAGCAGAGCCAATGAGGTAGATGGAAAAGTCGTAAGTGGGATGTCCCAGAATTGAAGAGAAAGTACTTTAAATCCTGCTGAACAATCAAGTGAAATGAGGGCAGTGAAGTAACACCTGGATTTGGGAATGAGGAGGTCATTGTGGTCTTGACAAGAACAGCTTCATCCAAGTGATGGAATAGGAAGCCCAGTTGGGGTAGCTTGAGGACATACAGGAGGCAAATGAGGAAGTGAGGACAGCAGTTAGGGGACTTTTTAGAGACATTGCTATGGAGCCCTGGTGGCTCAGTGGTTAAGAGTTCAGCTGCTAACCAAAAGGTCGGCATGTTCGAATCCACCAGCCGCTTCTTGGAAACCATATGGGGCAGTTCTACTCTGTCCTATAGGGTTGCTATGAGTCGGAATCAACCTGAATACAATGGGTTTGGTTAAGATGAAACTGGACGACATTATGCCAAGTGAAATAAGTCAGTCACAAAAGGACAAATACTGTATGAGACATCTATTGTAAAAACTCATGAAAAAGTTTATACACAAAAAGTAACAATCTTTGTTGGTTATGAGGGATGGGAGGGGCGGGGGGGAATACTAAACAGACAATAGATAAGTGGTAACTTTGGTGAAGGGTAAGACAGTACACAATACTGGGGAAGCCAGCACAACTTATATAAGGAAAGGTCAGGAAAAATTTTAGTAAAAAAGATGAAAAGAAAGTAGAGAAATGGGACACTATCTGGGAGACTGTGGTATCAAGAGAAGTTTTATTTTAAAATCAATGGAAAATACTAGAGTACATTTAAATGCTAATGGCAATAACCCAGTAAAAACCAAACCCATTGCCACTGAGTTCATTCCAACTCATAACCACCCTATAGGACAGAGTAGAACTGCCCCATAGGGTTTCTAAGGAGTGGCAGGTGGATTCAAACTGCTGACCTGTTGGTTAGCAGCCGAGCTTTTAACCACTGGGACATAAATTGGTGATGCAGGAAGCAATCAAATGATTGACGGAGTGAAATCCCTAGGAAGGAGGAGGATGGGATCCAGCGCTCACGTGGCCTTTAACAGGGACAGAGATAATTCATCTATAGCAAAAGGAGGGAAGGCAAGTAGTGTAAGTCCAAATTCACATGGTGCCCAGAGTTAGCCAAACTGTGAGGTTAAGGGCATAGTCCTCCAGACTGGCAAGGTCAGCCCTGTAACTGTAAGAAGTTAGGGTCCAACTATAAAGTTAGAGGGAAGAGTCCACCCAAGACCGTCCTCACTTCTGACACCAATCACAGGTTCAGGGGTTTCCCAAAACCACCCTCAAGGTCAACTAGAAAGACTCACAGAATGCACTGACAGCTATTATACTCAAAAAAAAAAAAAAAACTCATTGCCATCGAGTTGATTCCAATTCATAGTGACCCTAAAGGACAGAGTAGAACTGCCCCATAGGGTTTCCAAGGAGTGCCTGGTTTATTTGAACTGCTGACCTTTTGCTTAGCAGCCATAGCTCTTAACCACTGCACCACTAGGGTTTCCCTATTATACTCAAGGTCACGTTTTTTACAGGGAAAGGATACTAATTAGAACTGGCCAAAGGAAGAGAAGGCACACAGGGCACAATTTGGGAGGGTTCCAAATAAAAAGCTTCCGTTGTCCTCAGAATGTGTTACCCCCATCCCTGTGTCTGTATGTAACAATATGCACACAGTATTGCAAATCCAGGAAGCTCACCCAAACTTCATTTAGGAGGCATGACTGATTGATTCATTGCCCACATGGCTGAACTCCATCTACAGTTCCCCTCCCTGGAAGTCAGTCTGAAAACCTCTACCCTCTAAACACATTGTTGGTCTTTCTGGCATGGACAGCTCCCATCCTATGACTATGGGGTGTGGCCAGCCCCACCCTGAATCATCTCATTAGCATAAGCTAACAGGTGTGGTCCAAGGGGCCCACCATAAATAACAAAGACATTCTTGTCAAATTCCAATGGTTTAGAGGTTATCTTCCAGGAGCCAGTTAAAGGCTAGACCTGTCTTTAGGGGAGGCCAAATTCCTTACTACACACATCTTTATGGGGATGATGATAAATAACATGAAGACATTCCCCTGTGATTGCTTCTATTTTCTGGATGAAATATGTGGTTATGTCAACAACCAACTGGGAGGAACGGAAGAAGGTATTAGTGGCTAGTGGGAAAAATGTTGTTGTTGTGTGCGGTCAAGTCGATTCCGACTCATAGAGACCCTATAGGACAGAGTAGAACTGCCCCATAGGGTTTCCAAGGAGCGGCTGGTGGATTTCAACTGCCGACCTTTTGGTTACCAGCCTGAGCTCTTAACCACTGCACCACCAGGGCTCCCGTAGGAAAAATAGAAGATATGAAATAATTACTTTGGAAAATGAGACAGCAAACATACGGGGGAATAGAGTAGGATTACAAGTTGATAATCACCTATTTAAAATTTATGGTAAGAAATTTAAAGTGAGGCCAGTCAGTCTGGTTAGGTAATTTTTGCTAAGCCAGTTAAGAGCTGGGTGCAGATAGAGAGCTTGGCTGCTAACCAAAAGGTTGCCAGTTCGAATCCACCAGGTGCTCCTTGGAAACCCTATGGGGCAGTTCTACTCTGTCCTCTAGGGTCGCTAAGAGTCGGAATCGACTCGACAGCAACAGGTTTGGTTTTGGTTTGCAGGTAGACAGCTGCATTTTACACAAGTTAGAGATTTCCCAGGTGAAAATGATGGGCAGAGAGAGGGAAAGGGGTGTTACTGAGGCTTGAGATTTGATTATGGAATCTAAGTTCCCTTTAGTAGATATCCTGGTGCCCTTTCCCCAAGGGTGTGGCCTTGCCCTGGGACCCCATCAAGAAAAATCACGAATACAATAGTTCAACATAAGTAAATTTCCAAAAGTCCAGGCTATTTCATCTTAAATAACGTTCAAGTATATCAACAATACAGCCCAGGTTAAGCTTCTCCAGACAACCACCTGTGGGGATGTTTCAAACTAGACATGCTTCCCAAGGAATTCTGTTATGTCCTGCACCACCTCAAGAGTTGCTATCATGAGCAGGCAGTCACTGCCATATACAGGAGTGGGCCGTGTCCCTCAGGAGTGGTGAAGCAGGAAGAGACGGGAAGACTACTCTTCACAAACCTCTACATTCAAGTTAAGTTTCTTCCCGTTTTCCCAAAGAACAGAGAATAATACAGGGTGAAAACTTCTTCTGTATTTGTATAATGAGTGTTCAGATTGTTTTCACCAGAACAAAAGAATGGTTTGCCCCAAAGGAGCAATCAATTCTTCCATGGCTTGCAAGAGAAAACAGAGTTTTTTTCCCCCCATCTTCTAGTATTCAAAGTTTACATTATATATTCATATAATAATATTTATAAAGTTTTATAAATTTATTAATAAAATGTATTTACTTTATAAATGAATTTGTAAATATTATGTAATATTTATACGATAAATATTATATATTTATATTATATATTATATCATACGCACACACACGGACACATTATCAGCCCTGGTACCTTGTTACAAAAGATGAGGCGTTAGAATCCCAGTTCCCAGCTACTGCTGAGGGAGATGGACAGTGTAGATAGGCCCTATTTACCCTACTCGGGATGAGACCAGAAGCACAAAATAGGGGATATGAATACTATTCACTGCTTTAAAAAAGAAAAAGGATGAAAACTGTTCAAGTCAAAGAATTAGGCTCAATAACCTTTAGCTTTTAGAAAATGTTTAGGTATTACCCAAACAAGACAGAAAGGGAGGGAGGAGGCAGGGAGGGAGGGGGGAGAGAGCGCGAAGGAAGGAGGAAGGAAGGAAGGAGACAGAGAAAGATGGAGGAAGGAGGAAGGAGGAGGAGGGAGAGAGGAAGGAAGGAAGTTACTGTTCCTCTTTCTGCAGAGTTTAGATTAACTGGAGAAGATCGCATTCCCAAAATTAATCTCAGAATGCTTCTTCTGGATTAAGGTCATCAAGATAAGGAATGAAAGGGGAGAAAGGGTTACGATGCACAAAACAGCAACACCATGAAGGCGTATGCTGTAAATGATTCCCTTTGCTTCTCTTCTTCCTGCAGACTTACAGCCTCTTCAGCGATGGTATCCTGGAGTACTCGGGCTTGAAGCGTCAATTTTTCTTCCGTCGCCTGGATCCTTCCACTCTCTACACGCTGACCCTGGAGGCCTGCACCAGGGCCGGCTGTGCGCACTCAGCCCCCCAGCCTCTGCGGACAGACGAGGCCCCTCCTGACTCTCAGTTGGCTCCCACGGTTCAGTCTGTGGGGTCCACCAGTGTTGAGCTAAGCTGGTCTCAGCCTGTTAACACAAATGGAAAGATAATTCGCTATGAAGTGATTCGCAGATGCTTCGAGGGAAAAGCTTGGGGGAACCAGACAATCCCCGCTGATGAGAAAATTGTTTTCATAGAATATAATACTGAAAAGAATTCATTTACGTATAATGACACAGGTTTGCGGCCGTGGACGCGATATGAATATAAAATCAACACTTGGAACTCAGCAGGCCATACCTGTAGCTCCTGGAATGTGGTGAAGACGGAGCAAGCACCTCCAGAAGGTCTCTCTCCACCTGAGATATCCCACGTGTCTATGCATCCCCCAAGACTGCTTATTTCCTGGGTCCCACCAGAACAGTCTAATGGCATTATCCAGTCCTATAGGCTTCAAAGGAACGGAATGCTCTATCCTTTCAGCTTTGATGCTGTGACTTTCAATTACACGGATGAAGAGGTGCTTCCTGTCTCCACTTACAGTTATGCAGTCCTAGCCTGCACAAGCGCAGGCTGCTCCACCAGCAAACCCACCAACATCAAAACTCCCGAGGCTGCTCCAGAAGGGATCAGCCCTCCAGCTCTTCGGGCCATCAGTGCCACTCAAATAAATGTATCTTGGTCACCACCATCCATTCAAAATGGAAAGATCACTAAATATCTCCTTAGGTTTGATGGTAAGGAGTACCATGCCGGGCAGGGCCACTCCATGCTGCTTTCTCACCTGCGGCCTTATACCCAATATAATTTCTCCCTAGTAGCCTGCACCAATGGTGGTTGTACGGCTACCGGGTCCATATCCGCCTGGACATTGGAGGCCCCACCACAGAACATGGACGCTCCAACATTGCAAGTCACAGGCTCAGAATCAATAGAAATCACCTGGAAACCTCCGAGAAAACCAAATGGCCAAATCAGAAGTTACGAGCTTAGGAGGGATGGAGCCATTGTATATACTGGACTAGAAACTCGCTATCATGATTTCACCCTCACCCCGGGTGTGGAGTATGGCTACACGGTGACTGCCAACAACAGCCAAGGTGGTCTTATGAGTCCGCTCGTCAAAGAGCGAACGAACCCCTCAGCTCCGTCAGGGATGGAACCTCCGAAATTGCAGTCCAAGGACTCTCAGGAGATCTTAGTGAATTGGGACCCTCCAGTGAAGACAAATGGTGATATTGTCAACTACACCCTCTTCATCCGCGAGCTGTTTGAAAGAGAAACAAAAATCATACACGTAAACACAACTCATAATTCTTTTGGTACACGGTCATTTGTAGTCAGTCAGCTACAGCCATTTCAGAGGTAGGTAACCGACTGAGCGAGCCACTGTCATTTCTACTGCATGAGTGTTCAGGCAGTTCTAGTGCTAACTATAAAAGCAAGATGGGATGACGTCCCAACCCCATCCACTTAACCATCAACAATGGATGAAGCATATTCTTATCCAGCAAAGCTGGTTTGGTTAATTCCTGGAGAGAAGAATTCTTGCAGGTGACATTTTGAGAGTTAGTCTTTCAGAAATATGCATGATTCATCATGATGTCTGGAACAAGCAGTGCAGAGATGAGGCCAGTTCCCTCAGTCTAGTCCCTCCTGGAAACATGCAGGCCCGTTGACAGTTCTAAGAGCCCCAGTGGGGCCTTGTGACCCAGGCAGTGAAGAAAATGAAACATTCTTTAAAAGCACGTTAAGAGTGTCAGTTGGTGACAGCTATGATCAGCCAAAGGTGCTGAACCAGAATATGTCTTGGAGAGAGCCATTTTTACTGAATCCAGCCCTTCTTCTAGAGATAATGGGGCTACTTCGACTGTACTTCTTCACACACACACCCCCCTCAGAATTCCCCCAGCTCTGATCTCAGGCTTTTTCAGGACAGTGCCTCTCTGCTAACCCAGGAATTCCCAGAGGTCCTCTCTGGACTTCCCAACATGCATGAAAGGGTATTGCTCTCCATACAGAGGAATCTTACCACCGCCTCCTCTCCCGTAGTTTAAAAGATTGCTTGGCATTTTTCCGCGTCACATTTTAAGTAATTTACATCCCCAGAGAAAAGAGTAATAAAAAAGTAATAAAAAATGCTTAAAATTTAGTAAAATGAACAGATCCACTTACAAGAATTAAAGGGTAGAATTGTGTTGATTTCCAACCACCGTAGGTAAACTTCAGCTATTATGGTAATCTACTGATGTGTGGATTGAATCCCTCCTATAATTATCTCTGACATATAGTGCTGTTTAAATGAAACATTCGTCGTCTTGTGCATCTACTTGTGAGAATTATTTAGGGTCGTATTAAATATTAAACAGTAATTAAAACGTCCGCAGGTATCCTCCCCAGCTAATCCACATGCTGTGTATGTGAGCTGGCTTTTATCTTGCCTTGATATAGAGCATGACAAAGGCCCACCTTGACTGCAGAGCTGTGCATTGTATGCTGGCCCCTCTTTACCTGACTCTGCCTGCAAGTTTTAAAAGTCTCATCAATTCGCTCCCCTTTGAAATCATTACTGAAAAAGATTTCTAGAGAATACAAAGGTCTTCCAGATGTGAAAGGGACATAATTTTCCAAGCTGAAAAAAAAAGTTTGATTTATCTGCTAAACTAGCAATGATATGTGAGGCTTTGAGTGATGTCTCATCATTATTCATTCTAATTAAAGACTCGTGACTGATGATGTAAACAGAACTCCGTGTCTCGTAAGTTAGGGTTTGTATTAGTTACCTAGAGCTGCCATAACAAAATATCATGAACTGGGCGGCTTATAAAGAACAGAAATTTATTCTCTTATGTCCTGGAGGCTAGAAGTCTGATTAGGAAGTCTGATTAGGTGCTGCAGGACCATGTTCTCCCTAAAGGCTCTAGGGAAAGACCTTTTTTTTTTTTGGTCTCTCTCAGCTTCTGGTAGACCCAGGCATTCCCTGGCGTACAGCTGTAGCATAACTTTGTGGCCACACGCTGTTTTCCCTCTGTCTTTCTGTGTCTCTTCTCCTCTTTCATAGGACATCACAAGATTAGCTGAGGACCATGTTCGCTGATAACATCTTTAAAGACTCTGTTTTTAAACAAGGTCACAGTCACAGGGACCCTGGGTTAGGACTTCCACATATCGTTTTGGGGGACACAATTCAATCCATCACATGGATCACGGAGTTGGATTTCTTTTTCGGTAGTCTTCTTTTTTAATAGATTAATATTTAACAAATATTGCCAAGTTGGTGTGTTTTCCTTGGAGCACCCCCAACTGGTCCATGGGAAGAAGTAGCCTGGGAATAACCTCGACAGCAGGAGGAATCTGATCCAGAATTTTTAAAACATCACAAATAACCAGGGAATTAATAATCCGTACACGGATAACCGAAACTGACTTCATGGGATTGCTTAGAGGTCAGCTGTGCCATACGCAGCCATAGCCTTGTTCACTATGAACTGGTAGCGCATCACGGGGCTCAGCCCCCCGGGGGCTGCCGGGGTCAGCTTGGTGAGATGAAGAGCTGGAGACCAAGAGATGGGCATGGAGGAGAGGAAAGGAGGAAGGAGCAGGAGAGCGGAGTGAAGGACGGCACAAAGGGCCGTTGTTCTTAGGTATCGGGTAGTCGGAGTAGTCCATTTCGACTCATAGTGACCCTCATGTGACCTAATCACACTGCCCCGTAGGGTTTTCTGGTTTTGGAGGTTGTAATCTTTGCAGGAGCAGATCTCCAGGTCTTTCTCCTGCAGAGACGCTGGTCAACCTTTCCGTTAGCAGCCGAGCGCTTAACCCTTGCACCCCCAGGACTCCTCACAAAGGAATGTTGCTGTGTGCTGTCGAATGGACTCCAACTCATAGCAACCCTATAAAACAGAGTAGAACTGTCCCATGGGATTTCCAAGGAGGTAATCTTTACTGAAGCAGACTGCCACAGCTTTCTCCTGTGGAGTGGCTGATGGGTTCCAAAGGTTGACCTTTCGGTCAGCAGTCGAGCGCTTAACCACTGTGCCCGAGGGCTCCTTTTGCAAAGAAATACACAGAGTATTGAAAAGGGGAAAAGAGGAAACAGAAAGCAAGCAAGCAAGAGAACAGAAAGCAGCGATTGGAGGAGCAAAGGGGGAAGGTAGGAAATGAAGGGGAGGTGGCTAGAAACATAAGGGAGGTTGGGTCTAGGAGTCGGAGGGAAAATTCGGGCGTCAGAAAATCTCTAGGGCATAGGAAACAGGGAAAAAAGCTGTCATTGTCAGCCATAGGCACTTGTTAGTAACAAAAGCCCCTGTCCCTGCTATGTAAATAGACTTCCACGAGGCAGGCCAGCTCTGAGGCAAACGTAATTGATTGGTTGAGTTTAACTGGATGGTGATAAGGTGTCTCCATGATTGATAATCCCGAGTGTAGCTGGCTTAACTCTGGCCCCCAAAGGTCTTTGGGTGGTAGAAGAGGGCCTGTTTTAAGATGTCAGGTATCAGGTGAGGGGATTTATCACCGCTGAGACCTTAACTCCATGATGTTCCCTCACATATTTGTGGGAAATCATTTAGCCGTACGAGGCTGGAGGAGCCCAGGGCTGCCAAAACCCAGCACATCCTCCCCAAGGCATGCCTTCTTCACCACCATGTTAAGTAATTCTGCAGAGCACCAGAATTTTTACACTGGAAAGAAGATTAAGAGTTTATTCATTCCATACATTCCTGTTTAGGAGAAGAATTGTGTCCACCCATTCCAGGCAGATGAGAATCTTCCCTTTAGTTTGGAAAACCAGGAATATTTAAAACATAAGACTTCCAACGAAATAGGACTTTGTTATTTTTAAAAGGGTCAGCTATATAGAAGAACAGCCCCTGGGTAGTGCAAACAGTTAAGGCGCTCATTTGCTAACCAAAAGTTTGGAGTCTGGAATATACCCAGAGGTGCGTCAGAAGAAAGGCCTGGAGATCTACTTCCAAAAAATCAGTCATTGGAAACCCTAAGGAGCACAGCTCCATTCTGACACACACAGGGTTGCCATGAGTTGGAATCGACTCAACAGCACCAGGTTATAAATATAAATAAACTTATTTAAAATTATTTCTCTTTTTTTCTGAAAACACTTGGGCTTTTAAAGATTCTTCCCATGAAAATCTATTCTGCTGATAATCAGTGATTTCTGTCTTATGTCCTAAAGGTATGAAGTTCGCATTCAAGCGTGCACCATGCTGGGATGTGCGTCCAGTGACTGGACACCCATAGAGACCCCTGAAACTCCACCTCTGATGCAACCCCCTCCCCACCTAGAGGTACAGATGGCTCCAGGAGGATTCCAGCCCACCGTTACCCTCGTGTGGGCAGAGCCACTTCAGCCAAATGGAAAAGTTCTGTATTATGAACTGTACCGAAGGCAAATAGCAACTCAGCCTGGAAAATCAAACCCAATGCTGACCTATAACGGAAGCTCCAGCTCTTTCATTGATTCTGAGCTGTTGCCTTTCACAGAATATGAGTATCAGGTAAGAAATGTATATTATCAACCGTTCAGACTGAGACTGAGCGCACACATCAGCGCCTGCCTGTGAAAATTGCTTGCCATTTGAAAAGCCACTTAAAGAAACATGGGGCTTACGGAGTTTAATACTATTCTTCTTTCGAAGTTTAAGCAGTAAATGAAGGAGTGAAGACCATACTCATTTTCTTGGTTCTTGATCCATGTGGTATATGCTTTGCTATTTTTATGTAGATTATAGGTGAAAATCTAAATATGTATTTGGATTTTCTTACTGATGACCTGGTTTCTGCCCTTAAGCTTCCCCCGTCAGTGTTGCCTTGGTAGGAAATACTCCTTGTTAAACAACCACTCTGAAACTAACTCAGTAATTGTACCAAGAGAGAATAAGGTCTAAGGGCAGGCTACTCCAGCCCTGCAGTCTCGAGGAGAGCCACTCACCTGTGGCAGGATGAAGTGAATTTTGTATGAGGGACGGCCTCAAAATAGGCTTTGCACACCCCTAAAAATCCAAGGAAGGGGGCTCCAGGTAGCACAAATGGTTAAGCACTGGACTACTAACCAAAAGGTTGGCTGTTCAAACCCACCCAGAAGAACCTCAGAAGAAAGTTCTGGCTATCTGCTTCCAAAGGCCAGAACCTTGAAAACCCTGTGGAGCAGTTGTACTCTGCACGCGCGGGGTCACCAGGAGTCAGAACTGACCCAACGGCAACTCAAAACAACGAAAAGCCGAAGTTCAGATCCAAAACCAAATCAAGCCCATTGCTGTCAGTCGACTCCGACTCATAGCAGTTCTGTAAGACAGAGTAGAACTGCCACATAGGATTTCCAAGGAGCGCCTGTCAGATTCAAAGTGCCCACCGATGAGCAGCTGTAGCTCTTAACCACTACGCCACCAGGGTTTCTGAATCCTGGAAATCCTGGAATCTGCCAGGTGCTGTCCTGTAGGGTCGGCACTGGGTGCAGAGGACTTTTGTGAGGTGTGTTTTGTTCTGTGTTGTCATCAGGGTCCATTTGCATTCTTGTAACAGCAGCCTCATTTCCTGTCGTGGAATGATTCTCCCATCCCCGCCTTTTTCTCATGCGTGGTGGGAGTGCCAATCAAAGTGTGAGGCTGTTATCTAGCAGGTGGGGGGCACAGGCTTCTCTCAGCCCCTCAGACTTGCCTGGGGCTTGATCTTCAGCACAGTGACTCAGAATGAAGAGAGGTGGAGGTGGGAAGGCCAATGAAATATCCCTAAGCTCCATCCGAAAGCTTCCCTGATTCCTGCTGGTTCCAGGCAGGGTCCTTCAGCTGTCTTTTCATTCCACAGCCTCCTGATAAAGTCCCTTATTGCCTAAGTCAGAATCTGCTTCTCTTGCTTGCAGTCAAAGGATCTTTCTAGGTGCCGTGCACAAGGTCAAATGCAACTGTCTAAAAGAGGAAACTGAGCCTTAAGACGCTTACCACAACCAGAAATAATAAAATCACTGAGTCACCGGGAGTACGGTGACAAACTAATGGGTATAAAAATTAGATGTAACATTTTTAGTGTTAAAGAAGATGTTTTAGGCCAATAATGTATGGGATACATTACCCAGTGAAGTTAGTAAGAATTGAAAATATAGATTCCTGAATGGTTTCAAGCTACAGACAGATATAAATCTATAATCTTTTATTTCCAATTTCAAATCTAAAAATCTCTAAAAACCACATTATTTTGTTTTTGTTTTAAGTTTGACACAACTCATTTGGCAGCAAAACTCAATCTAAACAGACTTGGGACTGTTTATAGTATTTATTTATCCCACTTTATATGATTACTGTATGTTTTTCTATAGATATACTGTTATTTATTACAAGGTGGTTACCCAGATCCTGCTGAGGATGTTATAAAATAAACAATATATGCATTTCATTCGCTTTCGAAAATCTGAAAAACAAAATAATTTAAAAATCCATCAGGCCCCGACGGTTTCAGATAAGGATCGTGGCTTTGTCATGAAGGAACAAAATATCTATTGATGCCGTTGTTGGAATCAAAATACTGTTAGAAACAGGCAGAACATAGGTGGCCTTCCTTTTGTTCTTTTGTCATTATCTTTACTGAGATGTGTCAAGTTATCAAAAACCCCTCTGTCCTCAATTATCTAGTCTTCCTTAGGAGTAAAAACACACGTTCTGAGATAGCTGGATGGAATCAGCATGAAAGCTTTGGCCTCTAATTAGACAAAGTGACTCGCAGACACTGGAAGCAAACCAGTGATTACAGCTCCTTGGGCCCATGTTGTGTCATTGGGTTAAACCGTTGGCCACATGATCAGTAGATTTCTCATCTCAGTTTTCTGTGGTTGTTAGATGCTGTCAAGTGGATTTTTGACTCTTAGAGACCCCATGTGACAGAGTAGAACTGCCCCCACAGAGGTTTCTAGGCTATAATATTTATGGAAGCAGATTACCAGGTCTTTCTCCCACAGAGTTGCTGAGTGGGTTCAAACCACCAACCTTTGGGTTAGCAGCCGACCGCTTAACCTTTGAGTTGCCAGGGCTCCTTTCTCAGTTTTCGAAGGCATGTTGAACTCAAAGCAAGTGTCTTGCCTCTAGTAGGATTTCTCACCAGGAACTGAGGACCCACCAGCAACCACCCAAAACCAAACTCGTTGTGGTCAAGTCAATTCCAACTCATAATGACCCTATAGGACAGAGTAGAACTGCAGACTGACACATCTTTCTCCCGAGAGGCTGGTGGATTCGAAACACCAATATTTCTGTTAGCAGCCGAGCACTTAATCACTGCACCGCCAGGGCTCCTACCAGCAACCAAGGGGCGCACATTTCAGAGGGAAGCGAGTTGACCTCGGGTTGTGCTGACTCTTCTGTAACTCTCACACTTGGCTCGGGGTCCTTCTTTTCTATACTCATCCCACTCAAAGGAAAGCATTTGATTTCATTTTCGTAACAAACTGGTTTCAAATGTGCGTTTACTAGCCAATCCCATGTTGTTACAACACAAGAAGGATAGAAAGCAGAAAAAACAAAATCTAGCCCATCAGCCCCAAATCCCAGTTCTTACAGAAAAGGATATTTTGAAAAATATAGGTTAAATGCTGCAATAAGTGTACTCAAATATTGGATTTATCCAGCCTGTGTCAACACTGAGTCTGTATAAAACCAAAGCTGCTGCCATCAAATCGATTCCAACTTACAGCAGCCCGACAGGACAAACTAGAACTGCCCCACAGGGTTTCCAAGCTGTAATCTTTACAGACGCTGACTGTCACGTCGTTCTCCTGTGAGGCGGCTGGTGGGTTCGAACCACTCACCTTTGGGTTAGCAGCCTAGCATTTAACCACTGCGCCACCAGGGCTTCTTTGGGTCTACATGGAGCCTGAGTAATCCCACAGAAGTCCTTTAGGAAGTAGTGTACTAAAAGAGTTGATTCCCGTTTAGCAAAAGTAGATCTTCTCTTTAAGACGAATTTGCCTTGCTCACAAACCTATTCGAGTTAGTTCATCTTACCTTCCCTTTCTGAACACAGGGTCTTCTCCTAGAACATTTGTTCACCCAACATCTGGCAACGATTTCACTCTTCTGCAGACGATTGTATTTTTTAGGTAATCCACGTGTTTGTAAGGGGAAGAGGGCATCTTAGAAACTGCCCAGAGGCATGGAAGTTAGTCATCTGAAGGGTCATGGTGACCTGAAATGGGTAGGGTCATTTGCACGTGCCGTGAGAGTCAGATATGACTCCCCACCACCCTCCTACGCTGCCAGACGTCCTTGACTTCACTTCTGTTTTTGAGCTGTCACTGAAGGCAGCTGCTAGAATTTAGTTACGTGTGAAGAAAAAGCCTTCTCTCGTCTAAATTAAATCATCAGATCAGTTGACCAGCAATAGGGCTCTGGGCTAAAAGAATATAGTGTGGGAAGTTTCGACAGGCAGAAGCATCAGGACTACCTAGAGAAAGGGATTCTCACTGAAAGCGGAACCTCTACAGCAGACCATGGAATTCGGATCAGCAAAGGGCACTTCACTTGACAACAGTTCACGTAACCAACAAGGTAACCCACAAAAGCCATGTGACATTACAGGCACCTTGTAATTTTCAGTAATTCCGCAATACTGAGCTCCAGGAAGGTAGTGGTTCCCAGGGGGTAGGATACAAAAGGATTGCCCAAAGATCTTGCTAACAGTGCAGATTCCTGGGGGCTGGAGGGTGGAAAAATCCCAGTCGTCTGTACTTGTAATGAGCAGTTTAGATGGTGTGCAAGCTACACTGCTGAGAAATATAAGACCCGGAATAAAAATCAAAGAAATTAGGAAGCCCTTTTTCTGCCTCACAAGGATGGCGGCTTTGCAGAGTGATGGAGGGGAGGGGCGCATCAGAGAACAGGTCCTACCAAGCCTTCCCGGTGAATTTCAAATGCAGTGTAGTTTACCAAAACCTAATTCTCAAACAGCTCTCTGAATCTGTGGTTTATACATGAAAGAGATACATCTATACTAAATAAAATTCTTCCTGTGTGCAAACCTTCTCCTTCACGGACGCTGCAGGCTTGCTCTGCTAGAGAATACCGAGAAACCCAACAGGACCTCGTTTCTGTCTTCAACACTTTCACAATCGGGCTGTAGGGATATATACAATATAAGCCTCCAAACTGTGTGTGGGGAAGTCTGAATTGTTCAGCCATCAGTTAAGACAAGTAGTCCCTCCACAGGCCTCGGAAGACAGCAGTGTGCTCTCGGGGGCCCCTCCGTTTTCACTTGGGGGAGTGCGCCAAGCCTGAGAGTAGCTCCCAAGGGTTGTGCGTTCACGTTCAGACTCTCGCTCAAGGCAATGACGCACGGCGGATTCCCGGCTGCCTGCCGTGGCTCCCGCTTTCACTGAGGCACGCTGTCAGTAACTTAATTAGTTTCCCTCAAATGTCTCCGCTTTGACAGATTTTCGAGATAAGCACCCACGCACACTCGGGGTCTCTGACTGGGTGACTGAGAAGTGGCAGGCCAGCCTGGGAGGGATCCTCGT